TGGTATGCTGAAGCATTCAGAGTTCCTTTCACTGGAACTAAGGGGCCAAGCCCAGCTCCTGAAAAACAACCCCACACCATAATCCCCCCTCCACCAAACTTTACACTTGGCACAATGCAGTCAGACAAGTACCGTTCTCCTGGCAACCGCCAAACCCAGACCCGTCCATCAGATTGCCAGATGGAGAAGCGCGATTCGTCACTCCAGAGAACGCGTCTCCACTGCTCTAGAGTCCAGTGGCGGCGTGCTTTACACCACCGCATCCGACGCTTTGCATTGCACTTGGTGATGTATGGCTTGGATGCAGCTGCTCGACCATGGAAACCCATTCCATGAAGCTCTCTGCGCACTGTTCTTGAGCTAATCTGAAGGCCACATGAAGTTTGGAGGTCTGTAGTGATTGACTCTGCAGAAAGTTGGCGACCTCTTCGCACTATGCGCGTCAGCATCCGCTGACCCCGCTCCGTCAGTTTACGTGGCCTACCACTTCGTGGCTGAGTTGCTGTCGTTCCCAAACACTTCCATTTTCTTATAATACAGCTGACAGTTGACTGTGGAATATTTAGGAGCGAGGAAATTTCACGACTGGATTTGTTGCACAGGTGGCATCCTATCACAGTTCCACGCTGGAATTCACTGAGCTCCTGAGAGCGACCCATTCTTTCACAAATGTTTGTAAAAACAGTCTGCATGCCTAGGTGCTTGAATTTATACACCTGTGGCCATGGAAGTGATTGGAACACCTGATTCCAATAATTTGGATGGGTGAGCAAATACTTTTGGCAATATAGTGTATATATATATATATATATATATATTAGGGATGGAACAGTTTATGAAAACCGTCCGAACCGTTCGGTTCGACTGTCTCGGTTCGGTTCGCATGTGTTGCGTTCGGTTCATGCGCTGCTCCATTTTCTCATAGACGAAGCGTTTACACTCCAGAGCAGAAGGTGGCGGTACTGCGAACAAAGCCAACCACCAGTAGTAAACAAGAAGAAGAAGAAGAATCGTGTGGGTATGGCGAGTGGGAAAGAACAGGCAGGGCTCGATGTTAACCATTGCCCGATCGCCCGGGGCAAGTACTTTTTATTGTCGGGAGAGTACAAATTTCATTGCATTTGCCCGCCGGGCAAGTGCAGTGATCGCAAAAAAAGTATTTATCACTCAAAATTACTTTAAAATCACCGACATTAGCTGAAAACGACCCAGCCGGCGCCATTTTTGTTTTGTACACATTCTTGCGTGATTTGAAAAAGACGCGTGATTTGAAAAAGCCGCGAGATTTTCCGCCAGATGGCGTGATTTTTGTCAACCTAGTGGTAATTTTTGGCTCTGTTCGAAAACCTAGGACGCATCCTTAGAAGACCAGATTCGAAGGCCGATTACGTCATAGCGCGGCGCCGAGGTCTGGTCGGATTCCAAGAGTCCTCGTTATGCGGCCTTAAAATACGTCCTTCTTTTTGCCCGATTTGAAGGACGGGTCCGATGTATCCTCGGTATTCTTGGACATCCCAGGATTCATTGCGAGACCAAGCAAGCTGTGATCAGAGTAAAGGTTACTTGGCGCCGAACAGTGGTGAAAATTGGAAATTCAGTTTAATACAATACAACTCTGTGAATAGTTCCGTCTGAAATTAATGAAAATAGTTGTTTTAATGGTTATTGAGTTAGATATGTGGCGGTAATGTTTGATTTATCTAAAGGTTTTAATCTGTTACTGTGTAAATGGGTTTGGCTATAATTTAAGGACAGATTCTAATATATTTGCAGGGTGGGGACTATAAATCTGATAGGATTTTTATCTTTTTATTGCTGTTTTGCACAATATGCTTAACTTCCTATTTTTTGTTGTTGAATATTAGAGATTTTGCAAATATATTTTTTATAAATACATTGTTTAGATTTACTTATATCTTTCTACCCCTTTTATAGAATAGAATAGAAAATCCCTTTATTGTCCCACAATGGGAAAATTTACAGCAGCAGAAAGATTATTGAAAATGGTCACACAAATGTGGACCTTAGAAAAATGTATAAGAATAACATAATAGGGAAGAGTTAAAATATAAACAATAAAATACTGTAAAGTGTTTTAACAATATAAAACTGGGGAATAAATAACCAATATGCAGCTATGGACATTTTTACAGTAATGGATGTTTGAAAATAGCAGCAACATCAGAGATGTGCAGAATGACAGCAGCATGTTATTTAACCCGTCCTAGGTTTTCGAACAGAGCCGTAGTTACCAAAACGACAAACAAGCTAGAAAGCGCTATCATATGGCAGTCTTCTGTACAGTGGTCATACATTAAAAAATGTTCATTAAATTTTTTCCTCTCAGACATTGGAGAGGTGCAAAGCAGCAATACATGCGGAAATGATCCATGGTTTCAGCGAATCATTAAAAATAGTTGCAATTCATTAATTTTTTTGGATTTTTTCATAATTTTTTATTTTTTTTTTATTCATAAATTTTAATAATTTTTATTTTTATGTTTTATTATTTGGTGTAACAATAAACATATATCGAACCGAAAACCGTGACCATGAAACCGTGAACCGAACCGTGGATTTTGTGAACTATTCCACCCCTAATATATATATATATATAGGTTCTGACTGAATAGGTTCAGTAAGAAGAAGTGTCTTAACATTTTAACTTGGAATTACAGCTTTGAAATAGTTAATAAATCACCAGCAATTTAACAGTGTTCAACAGTATAAAACATACAACACAAAGTATTGCTTGTTTGTGGGGGTTAGAAAAGGACAGAGAAATTTCCACTTTGCCAAAAGCGTGTCATATGAGCAGCTAAAAACCCACAGAGGCAGCTGAATGAACCCCCGCTGCTCCCCCTGTCAGAACTGAAACCTCCCTAACACCCACACTGAGAAAAAAAAGGCTCACTCTCTCTACTGTTTTGATTTTTTGCTGTATTGAATTGATTTGCTCTCAATTTTAAAAAAGGTTCTGTTTGATCTTGACAGATAAAAAAACGAACCTTCAGGTTGAATTCATGGGGATAACTATGGGAACGTTGGAATAAAGTGTTAAGGTGTGAAAGCATGAAAAATTACCTTTAAAATGTTATTTTTAACCACAAACAACAACGTCTGGGATTCCCCCAAACAGACCTGACCACAGATACAATTATGTAGATTTCACACTAATGTGCTGTCAGTAAAAAATAGTGAGACACAGCGGGGTCACTGCAGAGTTTCCCTCATGTTTACTGTTTTAAGGGAAATCACATGGTAAAAAAAAAACACAAAGAGAATGAAGTCATCCCTTCAGCTACGTCAGCTTGTAAAAGTATTTACATCCCTTTAACTAATTATAATTGTCATAATCATAAACTGATGCATTTTATTGAGAATTTAAGTTGCAAAACCGATTCAAAGGGAATAATAATTGTGAAAAAAAAAAAAAACTCAATTGTTTATTGAAAATTGTTTGTAAAAAGATATTGTTGGATTTCTCCGTTGTCATCAAGCCTTCAGCCTCTTAAGGAGGATCTTTTAATCCATCATCTGCAAAGGGAGGAAGGACTGCAAAGCCGAATCCCAGGATTAATCAGAGAAGCAGATGTTGGTGATAACTAGAGTAAAATGGACATAGATAATGGGCAAAAACTGTCGCTGGAGATTAAAACAGCTTATGTTTGAATTAGTTTTGAATCCTTCTTTTTCATAAGGATGTCTTATTGAGATTAAAGCATTCTTAAAATAAAGGAAGCCTGGAATACATTTCAAAAATGTTATTTATTTATAAAAAAAAAAATTGGATTTAAACATAAAAAATCATTAAACTCTCTAAAAAAACTGTGACAGTCCACATTCACCACCTCACTCGTGATATTCTTGTAAACCCACCAGGAAATGTTTGTAGTATAAATGATTTTTAAACATTTTTCTGTGACTATGAAATATGATAAGGGAATAGTTTGACTAAATGTTAAAATAAATTATTTGGAGGCAGTCAAATGGTAGCTGGTATGGGGTGAAATGTGTTCCATTATCTGCAAGTAAATATTTTTTTGTATATTGAAATAAAACAAAATGCAACCCAGGAATTAAACTTTAAAACAATTTTTTTTTATAAATCAAAAGCAGTCAGAGAAAAAAAAAAAATAGTTTTACTCTTTAAACCTTCTATTAATAAAATGTTTTCATAAAAATCGTATTTCTTTAAAAATTTGTCTTTTTTTTCAAATTTCTGTTACTTGAATGCTACTGTTACTAGAATGAGTTAAGAATTGCATTATTTTCTCTTCTTGGGGCAGGCTTTCCTCTGGAATAAGGAGCAAAGATGCATTTCTATTGGTCTGCTGGATGCTAGCTACACTATTGTACCTGTCAATGTGAACGTGAGAAGAAAATTATAATATATATATACATATGTATATATACATATATATATATATACAGTATATGAAACACATTTTTTATCGAGTCAATTGTGGATTACCTTTAATTTCAATTTTAAAAAGTGTTTTCTTTGCTTACAACAATAACAGAACAAAATTCACTCCGCATTGGAGCTGGTACCCAAAGGAATGAGTTAAGAATCGCATTCTCTTCTTGGGGCGGGCTTTCCTCTGGAATAAGGAGCAAAGATGCATTTCTATTGGTCTGCTGGATGCTAGCTACACTATTGTACTGGTCAATGTGAATGTAAAAAGAAAATTGTAAAAAAAAAAAGGAATCAAATTTTTTAACTTTAATTTGAATTTTTAAAAGTGTTTTCTTTGCTAACAACAATAATGGAACAAAATTCACTCCATATTGGAGCTGGTAGCCAAAGGGAGGCTGAGGTAATGTGGAGGTTTAAGCTGTAAAGTTGTATTAAAGAAAAATGAACCAACAAAGACTTAGGGCCGGATAAATCAACTATAATAGTAAAAAAAATAAAAAAAAATAAAATACTGAACACAGTTTATAACATATCTGGATTTATTGATTAAAGATCATAAACACAAAGACAAAAACATCTAAATATCAATGCCTTTCATCCTCTAATCTGGAATGTCAGTATTCATATATAAATGCACTCACAGAGGCAGAATGGTTGGAATCTCAAGTGGCTTTTTCAGTGGAAGGGAAAACAGGAAATGAAATGAAATAAAACATTCCAGCTGCTGACAGAGCATTGCTTGGTTTCATCCCCAGTCTCTCACTATGGCAGCCTATTAAAAATACAATAACACAAAAGGCATTAATGACCTTTGTATTGAACCGTTTCACTCAGTCAGCAAACACTCTTCCAATGGAGACAGGGGAAAAAACAAAAAAAACAAACAAACACCCGAGCTCTAAACTACAACCCACTAATATTCAGATTCACATTTTATCTCTCTGACTGCTTCCTCTTTTTGTTGGTGATTGTCACAGGGTGGAGGGTCTGGTTGGACCGGCATCCAGAGCTGCTGAGGGGCTCATGGCTCCCAGGCTGAGAAACCACACAAATAAAGACAACTTCAATGTGTAGAATAGTTTAATAAATCAGGGTTTATAAGAAGAAAGCTGTTATTCAAAACTCACCTCTCTATGATGCTGTTGTTGCACTGCAGTTCTCGAACCAAAAGCTCCATTTCGTCCCTCAAGCTGTGCATCCTACAGCAGAGAAAGAGACAGAACGTCACGCTGCTGACCCAGTTTACACCCAAACAGTCCTGACAGTCTAAGTTTTTACGCGTTTATGGATGGCAATTCCCCCCGCAGCCAAAATAACTTCACTAATGCATGTTGATGCACCGTCAACACACATCAGGGATCTCATTACAAGCACTTTGCTGCCATCTAGTGGCTGAAGATTAACATTTCTTATGTTTTCAACTGTAATTCTATGTCTGTCTCTTACGGTAAATATAAACACATATATACACACACAGATATATATATATATATATATATATATATATATATATATATATATATATACACAGACAGACAGACAGACAGACAGACAGACAGACAGATAGATAGATAGATAGATAGATAGATAGATAGATAGAGATGGATCGAGTTCTTCAACTTTTGCCTTATTCTGACTACATAGAACTAGGCTTATCCATCTCTGCTTTAGTTAAATTTAAATCTCGATGTGACAGGGGTCTGAATATTTTTTCAGGCTCAAGTCTATCGAAATAGCTGCAATATATTGAAGGTAAAGAGGAACAAATAACTTGTGACTTCACAGAGCTTAATGATTATGGAAGAAAACCAGTCTTATTGGAATCCGCTTTGTTTTTAGCACCAAATTTTAAACACTGAATTTTTTTACACTTTCAATTCTTTACACTGAATTTTTATCTAGTGAAAATTTGCCTTTTGGTGAACTCAAGACAAAGCAATCGACACTCGATGCACTCCAGCAGCATCTAGCCAATGAAATTACCTCATTTGGTCACGTGAGAAAAAAGTTGGACATAGCTTTGTTCCAGGCTAAATGAAGCTGATGAGGAGGTTTTCTTGTTAAATAGATATGATTAAAAAACGTCAGCTAGCTACTAATAGACAACCATTAGAATTTTTCATTTAATACAGGGGTGTCAAAGATAGTGGTTGGAAAGAAAACCTGCAGCCACACGGCCCTTTCTGGAACCAGTTTGACATCCCTGATCTAATCGGACTGGGGAAAATAACTGAGCCGATCACAGCTAGTGCGGCACCGCTGTCTGCCAAGGCTGGTGGTTTGATCCGGAAGGAGCTGCCGGTGGCAAACCTATTTTTTTTTTTGTATTCCGACCAAATTAGGTAATTTCCTTGGCTAGAAGCTGCTTGACTGCATCTAGTGCAGATTGCTTTGGCTTGAGTTTATCAAAAGGTCAAAACATTTGCAGTCAAATTTTTTGTAGGTAAATTTTTTGCAGCTGATCAGTTGATCTGTTTTAATTAGATTAGCTTGCCAAGCTTCACGTTTTACGCTCTGCTCTTTGGATTTAGTGTTGCTTGTTTTCCTCTATCTTGCTAAATTTCCAGCCTTAAACATCATTTAGCTCTAGATGAGCTTCTTTTATCTAATTCTATTTCATTTGAATTGATAAACCAGCAAAATAAAGGTTCAAACAACGGCCATGAACGTTTTCAACAGATGAAACTGCCTAACCAAAGGCACAAGGGGAGCAGATGGTAACATCTGGGTTTGAGGTCATTTCCAGGAACTAGACCGAGTCCTAACTCAACAGGGCTTGATCCAAACAGCACCAAGCGGTCCGGCTGATGTCATGAAACAAGCAGAAACTTAAAAACACCTGGAGACCATCTGGTCCTTGTCCCTGGGTGTGATTTCAGGTTGCTGCTCAGCTCGACCAAACTGTGGAGAGTTGAGGATCCTGTCCACTGCCTGCGGAGGAAACACCAGACAAAACATCTTCAGGGACCCAAAACACCACCAACACAATGCCCCACTATTCACTATCAGAGAGCACATGTGTGCTGCTTGTTCCTAGTTAAGGAGACAGTGTTGGTGCTTCATGTAGAAGAGCACGGCTGAGAGTCCTTTACCTTATTCTGCTGCTGCTCGCTCGTTTCCAAGTCTGCTAGTAAGCCGGCCGAGAAAGAATTAAAATCCCGCAGTCGGTTCTGCATCTCCAGTAACACACTGGAAATATGAAGAAAAACAACATTTAGTTATTATAAAGATAACACAGATGAGAATCACTAGTATTTACACCACAGCATCACCAGGAGGCAGAGAAAACCGCCTCTCTGATGACTCCTTAAAACCTTCAAGACATAAAACTGATATATTATTTCTTCTAAAATTATTATAAATGATGTTTTTTAAATGTTATTTTCTTAATCCGGACAAAACGGAAGGATCATGTGTATATATATATATATATATATATATATATATATATATACACATATACATACATACATATGCAGATAAATATATAGATACATACATACATATATATATATAATACATACATGCATACACATATATATGTATGTATATTTTGTTTGTTTCTTTTTTTTTTCAGACGGTGTAAAAATGTATTAAAAACAAAAGCATATATATACACACACACATATACATACGTATATACACACACATATTTTCTAATATAACCTGCATGCTAAACAAAACGTTTAATATAAAACAGTAATTACCGTATTTTCCATATTATAAGTCCCTACTTTTTCCCCAGGGCTTTGAACCATGCAGCTCATAAAAAGGAACAGCTTTTCTGTGGATTTTCTAACATCTAGAGCGGGAAGTCAAAGTTGGAAATGAAACGAATACGGGGCTAATTTCCCTTTAGCATAAGAAAATGCAAAGCAGCAGGCACCACACAGAACACGTGTCCCGAAATCACACATTTTGGCATTTATTTGCCACATTAAAGCTGCCAAACTGATGAAGAGACTGGGCTCAATGCCTGCAGAGCTGAAATAAAGAGCTGACGACGTTCAATACACTGTAAAAACGACAACTCAAAATTGTTCACCTTACTAAGATTTTTGCATTCACTGACAATAAAATTGCCAGTTGGAACTTGAACTGTCTTTTGTGAGCCAGTTGAACTCACTTTCATAAGTTTCTAATGAAAAGTTAATCTTATTCTATAAATTAAGTTGAGTTTACTTAGAAGTTGTAGTTGACACCCAGTCCGAGCGAGGTCAACTTATCTGCACATGCTCATTTCAAATTTGTCATGGCAACCGGCTGCTACAGGGTTTCCATGGATTTTCCCAGGAGCTCCCTTCTAAAGTTTGGTTCAGTCATCTGGTCACTCTGCTGGTGGTAACTTTCCCTGAGGAAACTTTCCCTGGTTTCCTGTCATCTCTGGCAATATTGCATTATTTGTAAGGTTTTAACAGGAGTTGGAAAGTAAAAAAATATATGCTGAAACCTGATTTGCTTTAAGCATAAGATTATACATATATACTTGTATACATTGTTGAACTGTAAACCTGTTTTTGCCAAAGTGGTTCAAATAAACACGCAAAATTTGACTGGTTTAAACTCAAAAATGTAAGTTATTACAGGGGTAGGTAATCTGAATTTAAAATAACTTTTTACAGATAATCTGAACTTAAAATAATAAGTTTTTACAGACTTGAAAGTTCCAGTAACTTGAATTAAAAAAACTTAGTTGGCAGAACTTGAAAAACTTAGCTTAAAACTTAACTTAATAAGTGTAGTTCTACAAAACTTAAAAAATTAAGTTGATGCCTTCAACTCAAAAATTCTGTGCAGCCGGTTGCCTTGAAATTTTGAGTTGAACTAACTTTTTCGTTTTTACAGTGTAGAAGCTCGTCACTGCACAATCCATCCCGAAAGGACAATCCGTACCATCGGCTCATTTGCTAAAGTGCAAGCAGATACTCATTCAGGTTTCCATAAACCATAAACCTTACTTATTTCTATTCCTTAACTCACTAAAGAATGCTAATACACATCTTTAAAAAATGCCTGATGACTTTTCTGAGACAATTTGATGCTTCTAAGATTTTCTCCGTTAAACTGCTTTTCGGACGTCATCAGGCATGCTCAGAGCAGTTCGGCAAAATATGATTAAACCATGTTTATCTGCATTTTAGTTGTTTCTTTCTTTAGATTACGAACTGTATACCATAATGTTAACATGAAAGGAAAAAGAAAACTCAATAAGACCAGATTTATGTTTAAACCCAAAGCCGAAAAAGTTAGCTCCCGGAAGTAGCGTAGGATCACATTTCCGGTTCAGATTGGGCAGAGACGACTGACAAAACAGAAAGGATTTTAAGGCATGAATTTTCTCAGGAAATCCATTATTAACTTTTAACAAATTATATTTTTGTACGTTTAATATTTTAAATGAGGGAAAGATGTAATTTAGGTCTTTTTTACAAAGTAAAATAGAGGGCGCCTCGTATGTACAGTGGGGCAAAAAAGTATTTAGTCAGCCATAAATAGTGCAAGTTCTCCCACTTAAAAAGATGAGAGAGGCCGGTGATTTTCATCATAGATATACCTCAACTATGAGAGACAAAATGAGGAAAAAGAATCTAGAAAATCACATTGTCTGATTTTTAAAGAATTTATTTGCAAAGTATGGTGGAAAATAAGTATTTGGTCAATAACAAAAGTTCATCTCAATACTTTGTTATATACCCTTTGTTGGCAATGACAGAGATCAAACGTTTTCTGTAAGTCTTCACAAGGTTTTCTAACACTGTTGCTGGTATTTTGGCCAATTCCTCCATGCAGATCTCCTCTAGAGCAGTGATGTTCTGGGGCTGTCGCTAGGCAACACGGACTTTCAACTCCCTCCAAAGATTTTCTATGGGGTTGAGATCTGGAGACTGGCTAGGCCACTCCAGGACCAGGAAATGCTTCTTACGAAGCCACTCCTTCGTTACCCTTGCTGATGGAAGGAGGTTTTCACTCAAAATTTGACGATACATGGCCCCATTCATTCTTTCCTTCACACGGATCAGTCGTCCTGGTCCCTTAGCAGAAAAACAGCCCCAAAGCATGATGTTTCCACCCCCATGCTTCACTGTAGGTATGGTGTTCTTTGGATGCAACTCAGCATTCTCTCTCCTCCAAACACGACGAGTAGAGTTTTTACCAAAAAGTTCTATTTTGGTTTCATCTGACCATATGATATTCTCCCAGTCATCGTCTGGATCATCCAAATGCTCTCTAGCAAACTTGAGACGGGCCTTGACATGTACTGGCTTAAGCAGGGGGACACGTCTGGCACTGCAGGATTTGAGTCCCTGGCGGCGTAGTGTGTTACTGATGGTAGCCTTTGTTACTTTGGTCCCAGCTCTCTGCAGGTCATTCACTAGGTCCCCCCGTGTGGTTCTGGGATTTTTACTCACCGTTCTTGTGATCATTTTGACCCCAAGGGGTGAGATCTTGCGTGGAGCCCCAGATCGAGGAAGATTATCAGTGGTCTTGTATGTTTTCCATTTTCTAATAATTGATCCCACAGTTGATTTCTTCACACCAAGCTGTTTACCTATTGCAGATTCAGACTTCCCAGCCTGGTGCAGGTCTATAATTTTGTTTCGGGTGTCCTTTGACAGCTCTCTAGTTTTGGCCATGGTGGAGTTTAGAGTGTGACTGTTTGAGGTTGTGGACAGGTGTCTTTTATACTGATAACAGGTTCAAACAGGTGCCATTAATGAAGGTAACGAGTGGAGGACAGAGGAGCCTCTTACAGAAGAAGTTACAGGTCTGTGAGAGCCAGGAATCTTGCTTGTTTGTAACTGACCAAATACTTATTTTCCACCATATTTTGCAAATAAATTCTTTAAAAATCAGACAATGTGATTTTCTGGATTTTTTTTCTCATTTTGTCTCTCATAGTTGAAAATTACTGGCCTCTCTCATCTTTTTGAGTGGGAGAACTTGCACTATTGGTGGCTGACTAAATACTTTTTTGCCCCACTGTATATCTGGTTGCTCATGCGCAAATGGGGTGATGGTACGGATTTTTCAATTTTGTATTTTATTTTGTATTTTACCTTTTTGTATAAATATTTTAAGTTTGTTTTCCTTTTACACAGATGGGACCGTGGCACCCTGGCTGCCCGGCAGGTGTGCTTGATAAGGTTAACAGGAATAATGTCAAACACCGCGTTTTCGAAAGGTTTTATTTTTCTAACTCAGCACCCAAAGATCATTTAAAACAAAAAATGCTTTTACCAATTTCAATTTATGAAAAACAACGAGGTTGGAATAAGATAAATCGATCCAAAAAAAGAGAATTAATTTAAAGCGGACGCATGACTTTGATCATGCTGCTGCCCTGACCTGCTCCACGTCCTTGTTGAAGCCAACAGGTCTTTATATCTCAGCAAACATTCCTCCCTGAATAGAGATTTCACCCGCTTAATGTGGGAGGACAGGTGGATTCTGGGAAAAAAAGACAAAAAACAAGTTCAAGGCTTTCCAACGCTTGATGCTTCAGCTCAGTGGAAACATGAAGAAAAAAGATGCAAACTCACTTCTCAAACTTGTGTATTTGTTCGTCATTATAAGCAAGTTCTGGTAAAAAGAATGAAAAAAAAAAAACAGAAGTAAATATCCTGACTTACATTAACAGCTTTTGCTTTTTAGTGGTTCATTAAAACCTTACCAAAGAGTTAAAAAAATAATTCAAATAGTTTGAGTCTCAAGAGTTATTTGTTGGAGCAAAGCTGTGAAACAGTATCTGCTCTGAATCAGTGGAAATCTGCCTCCAACTCTCCTCCAGTCATTACACCTCCACCACCGTGTTTTACTGGAGGTATGTTGCTCCTTGAAGAAACCTTAACAGATTTTTTCCTTCTAGTATGTTCTAATAACTTTCTTCTTTAAAAAACGATTTTTTTTCTTTGCGAATATGAAATTCGGAATGGATTTTTATCTCAACAGTATTTTTTATTTAGTACGCTATCCATGCAATCTCTTTTGTCCATTCCTGTATTTTTCTACTGTGGAATCACAAACACTGATGTTTACTGAGGCAATGTATGGACTAAATTTTGCTCCATTATTGTTTTAAGCAATCCAATAAATCCGGCATCCCCAACCTCGGCCCTCAAGGCCCACTGTCCTGCAGGTTTTAGAGGTTTCCCTGCTTTAGCACAGCTAATTATAATGACTGCAGTAGACCAAAAGCCTGTTAATCAGCTTTCAATTAAAATCAGCTGTGATGAAGCAAGAAAACCTCTAAAACCTGCAGGTCAAGGGTTGGGGATGCCTGCAATAAATGAAACAGTGAAAAACAGCAATTTTCCTGTTTTCTGAGGGGTTTTTTTTGTCATAGGGAAGTCATATTTAAATGTCAAATCATTGTTGCTTAAAGCTACAGTGTGTAATTTTCAGCGACATCTAACGTCCAGACTGCAGACCGCAGCAACATGAACATCCCCCCCCCACCGCTTCTCCCCCCCAACAGTACGGCGAGCTTTACGGGACAAAATGTCTTCCACGACGTCCGCATCACCTACCTTCTCAAGTGATGAGGTTTGTTTACATAGATAATTTTACAGATAGTATTTCATTAGTCTGTGTAGGGTATAGATTTCATGTAGACTTAAGATAATAAATATACCCGTTATTTTTCCTACATCGTTGTGACGTTTTGGTGAGCTGCTTTGCATGGTGATATAAACAGACGAAGTAATTGTAGTCATTAGTTTAACAGCGAGATTGTGTTCGCTGGAAGAATATATATTCCCCGTTTACAGAGTCCAAGTCTTGTTGGTGGCACGGGGGTTACAAGGCGAGGAAGAGGGAGAGGAAGAGGGCGAGGAAGAGGGCAGAGAGGCCGGGGTGGGCCTGCAGCCAGGGCCAGGCGAAGGAGAGGTGCCAGCGGGGTGACTAGAGCAGAGGAGGAAAGGCTTGAAGATCTCCAAAGGAGCCGGAGAGAAGTAACCGAGGTATATATCCAGAAAATTATTTTACAGAAAATTACTGAATCATTACCTGTGAAACGTCAGGGATGTTGCTGAATAAGTATACTGGAGAGTAACAGCATCATCACGCAGCATGTTATTGTAATGGGCGATCTCGCAATCGCTAGTTTGTTGGCTCTGCGCTGCCGTAGCGCAAAGATGTCTGCCTCCATGGCTGCGAGACCCGCTCCTATGTAATTATAAATAACGAATTCTAAGGCAACGCAAATATTAAGGTTAAGAGGCTGAGCTCGTAGATGATGATAAATAACATAGTTATGTATAATATATTACATTTCTGACTGTATATCCCTGTAATTATTACACACTGTAGCTTTAAACACGTATATAAATGTACTCTTTATTAAACCACTTTGTCCTAAAATGTAGAAAATTTCTATAAAAAAAAAAAAAATGCCTTAAAATCCCAACTAAGATGCTAACTGGTTAGCAAGATGCTTCCGTCAAACCGGCTACAATCAAACTTGCTTGTGAACCTTCTGCCACAACAATCCCGCCCCCATGATAAACGACCAATCACATTCACTTTATTCACTCGTGTAAAGTCGAGCACCACTCGGGAGAATTGGGAAATGCAACGATTGGAACGGCCGCTTCCCTACAACTTTAAATGACAAATTTTAAACAATTTATTACTTTATTATTTCCAAATTTTCTTTACATTTTTCACCTCATATGTTTTTTCCAGATTTTATTTATTTTTTTATTTCTCCCTAAACATTTAGTTCTAGTTTCACAGATCGAATTCTCCTCTGATTTCTATTGGTCTGTATGGACGCTAGCAACTTGATTTTTATTGGTTGAAAGCAAGTGTTTTTATAGAGCGTAAAGGTAAAAATTATTATATATATATGTATTATATATAATATAAATATATTTAAATGCCGTTTTCTCATGATGTGCTTCTTTTTGCAATGCTTAAGCCTACTTCCTCTTGTCAGACTTCTTCTCAACCCTTTATAGGCCAAGTTAGCAATTTTGATCATTTGCATAGTGTTTACAAACAAGGCCCCCCCGTCCCTCAGTGAGGTCTAGAAGTAGAAGATCTATATCCAGCCATTCAGCAAAGATACTGCTACATCTTATTTTAGCAGTTGACCAATTAAGTGAGCCCTTGAATGATATATTACCTACTGTAAGTTGAAAAAGTTAACAAGTCAAGAAAAAAGGTAAAAGCTAATTGAAAAGTTTAAAAGTAAAGGTAAAAAGTTAATAGGTCTAGTTAACCATTGTATTTAGGTTTATAAACTAAAAAATATAAGTGCCAGTATCAGCATTAATGTCTCTAAGGTTATGTTGTTCAAAAAAAATATGTTTCTTTCACTCTCAGTGTTTTTCATGAATTTCTTATAGAAGCGCTTTTGTTATTTTTCTTACTATATTCGGGCAAGTTGCCATTTCTAGTTGTAACATCTACATTAATTTTTGCCATCAAAATATTCATATTTTTTTAATGTTACCAAGATAATACGATTTTGTCCAGGATTCCAATGAAACTATTGGCTTGAAATGTATATTTTCAAAGTATTGCACTGAGTGCTCTATGAAGGGTTAAGTGATTTCTTGTTTGACAGCTCTGGCAGTAATCAGGACTGTATATAGCGAGCAGAGTTTCAATAAGCTTTTTTATAACTTATAGAACAGGTTGTTGTGTAAAAATGTTTTTTCAAATTAATAAATATATGTATCTTTAAAACTTCCTTTTGAATGTACACAAAAGATTATTATTGATCTGATAAAAAAATATATATTATTGTGATATTTTTTCACAGTACTAAATCTATAGTCTGTCCTTAAAGGCCACAATAAAAATAAAATAAGTGTTGAGTGATCAAAAAAAAAGTCTGCATACTTCCTGTGAGCCTGTCTTTGCGATACTGCTGATGAATTGCCGTTATCTTCTCCAGCAGCATCTGCATCTTCTGACAGCTGAGGAGCAAAATTAACCATAGTTTCAAACAACTCAAATATATTCTCCACAACAAATCCTTGCTCTAAAACGAGCCGTACCCCTTATCATGTGTGAGGGTCTCGGCCAGCTTGGCCTGCTGTATCTGCAGGTGCTCCAGCTGGGTCTGAAACTCCCGGATCCCAGCAGAATAAATAGGCAGGTGCTGATGAATCTAAAACGACAATATGAACAGAATCTCTTCAGTGATAAATAAACTAATTAATATGATTATTATTATTCAAACATCTACATTAGGGCTGTAACATTATTATTCTGGTAATCAATAATTCTAGTGATTACACAAATAATCAAACAAAAAAGAAATAACATTCTGCAAATTGTTGACTTATTGCTCCAGCTTCATTATATATAAATATATATATATATATATATATACACACACATATACATACATATACAAATACACATACATATACATACTGTGTATATATATATATACTACTGTTTTTCTCACCCCTCGTGGGGTGGTATGTGTCATCCTCAAGCTCGGGTCCTCTACCAGAGGCCTGGGAGTTTGAGGGTTCTGCGCGTATATACATATACAGACATATTATATATATATATATATATATATATATATATATATATATATATATATATATATATATATATATACATATATACACATATACAAACATATTATATATATATATATCTATATATATATATTAATCTACATACATACATAGATAAATGCATACATATATAAAAAGAAAATAGAAAAAATAGATATATTGTTAAACTGAAAAACTACACATATACACTCCATATATGTAATGCTCTGAGGCCTTCACAAAGTGATCCTCCAGCCCTGATGTCAACAACCCGTCGATTCAAACAAAAGTACCCTGCTCAGTGCTGAGGCATTCATCTTCTGTTCTATGTAAACAAGCAGGTTGGGGTAGCTGGTTGACCTCCCCAAGATGGCGCCTGTAATTTCTGTGCCGCAACAATCAATACGGAGTCTACTATTATATGTATATCTATGGTAGCATCCATGTGTTAGCCATCTAAGCTATCGTTAGCTGGAGCCACCTGCCTGCAACACAGTGTGTCTAACATTAAAACCTTGAGAAAGATACTTTGCCTCAATGAAATGTAATAAATGTGGTGCTCGAATCATTCAAGGAATAGTTACAGCCCCGTTAAAAAAAACAATACTTTCTTTTAAAAGAAGAAATTTCATTCAGCAACCCAAATCTAAATTTAAAGCATTATGAAATTTTAAAAAGCTAGCTTTTTTCTTCGGGAATTTCGGGAAAATATTTATATATATATAATTCAGTTCTGGGCAGTTTCCCACGTAGTTCTAACAGTTGAGAGAAAAATGATGAGGGGCCAGCAACTTCAAAGTATTAACTCAGGTTAAAGCAGGAAACTAAGCTGAACCATAACGAGGTGCCAGCAGCACCTCTAGAAGAATAGGGGTGAGAAAAAATACCCCATAGAAATGCTAGGCTAAAGGGTGAGTTGATTTTTGTTTGGGTTTTTGTTCTTGTTGAGCGGAGTTTACATGGTAGTCAGTCCTACAATCTTTTAATTACCACAAGCTGGTGGTGTACTATTCCCACCCAAATAGGGTATTCTATTTATGTATTTGTTATATTTATTTTGGTCACTTTTCTGGTCACTTTAGTTTATTCTTTGTCAGCATTTAATATCATAACTCAGGTCTCTTAAGTTATTTTTCTTTAAAACAATTGTTATGGTTAAAAAAGTTGGTTAAATAAAGATTTAATTGGAAGTCTGTGTTTGTGTTCTTTACTAAAATTAAATCATTTAGCAATATCATAAAAAGTCCAGGCAGAGCTGCACAAAAAAAATGGTTTCAAATCTTTTCAATAATTATCGATATCGATCAATATGCATTTTTTTTTATCGACAAGCTTTTTTTCTATATCGCCCAGCCCTATGTCTAAATATATAATTTTTTTTTAGATTGCATTTTCTTCCGGATAGGTTTTTACAAAAGGTTTATATTCTGCTTGCAACAATAATATTCGCTCCATAATAATCAGTCATAATGATTAAAGACATGTTTCTATGCAGGTTTCCTTCTCTTCTCTCCACATTTATAAAGATCTGCATCCAGTTCAAAAGAAAATCAGCTCAACACTTTAGATTGAAATCATTTTTAAGCTTTAACTGTGCAAACCAATCTGTGCGGCAATTTAAAGCAGCACGGCGGAATAAACTGCATCACATTAGACTGAACCCTGCTGTTACTTCAGAGTCACTTACCAGGTGCAGCTTTTGACTCAAGCCATCAACGGAGCCTTGATTTTCAGAGAAAGAAGCTCTAACACAAAAAGAGAGAAGAAGGAAAAAAAACAAGGTTGTTGAGATAAGAACTCAGAGAACAGATGTGAACTTTAACACTTGTGCCAGTGGCGGATCTAGGGGGTGGCTACTCGGGCTGCAGCCCCGGATGTTTCCCCAAGAGCCCCGGATCTCGCTTCTGAGCTGATCAGAGTAAAATGTGCAGTACTGGAATTCACCAGAGAGTGGCAGCATGTGCAGGAAAGCAGCCTGTAGCATTCCTGTGCAGAAGAAGTCCCCACTAGCTGTTGCTAAACAGACTGATGTCCCAGGTATGTGAAGCTCTGACTGACTTCCAGACGTTCTTTGTCCTGGAGTTGTTAAAAATTCTGTTCCCCTTGTGTCGGGAGCGCACATTGAAGCCAGAGAGGCGAACATGGCGGATGGGACCATTTTCATTCATGTCAATGTTGTAACATCCAGTTTAATCAGCAGCTGTTGTCTATAATATTGTAAAATAAATAAATAGACGAGGTCCTTTTAAGCTGTTTTGTGTTATTTTTTTAAACGCCAAGAGAATCTGTCTTTTTCCAACTTCTGTCAGTTAAGCCTGACAGAAATAAAAGTCAGAAGTATTTATCATTTTTCACTGCTGATATAAGAGGACGGAAACTGGCTGATAGCAGGACACAAAAATTAAGATTTCCAGAAACGATGAGAGAGTAGACTTTCTGGTAAATCCCGTTCTAATGTAAAATATGACAGATTACTGGATTAAAGAAATTTCTACAGTAGTATACTACATGCTAACATTTTTTGAGAATTTGGAAACAGTTGCTGTTTATTTCCTAAACATATGGGAGGAGGAGAGGGGAGAATGGATATTTCAGCTGCCTGGAATATTCCGTTCCTCCTCCATAACATGGGAAGGAATTAATTCACCTACAAATCTTTAACTGTGTTTATTCCTCTCATCATCAACAACAAATCCTGTGGATTTGGTGACATTAAATCATTATTTGCCAAAAGTAATGAGAGGGAAATCGTATATTTTAGCCACCTGATATAATCCGTTTCCCCTTTGATGATCTTTATGAAATTTCTTTTCTGTTTAAATGTTTATCTAACAATTTACAAATATATTTCAAAAGAAAAGTTCAAATCAAAACAGCTGGAGCTTTCTCAATTCAAAATGTCTGAAGTAATGCTATTCCAGACATTTTGAATTGAGAATTGAAATATTTTTATTAACTATTTGAGATTTAAAAATATAAAATAATAAATGTTTCAAACATAACAGAGAAAAATAATGACAGTTTCAAAATTCACAGGATATGTTTAATTTTTCCCATGTTATGGGGGAGCAGATTATATCAGGTGGCTAAAATATATGATTTCCCCTTCATAACTTTGGCAAATAATGATTAAATGTCTCCACAGAGCTTGTTGTTGAAGAAAGAAATAAACATAGTTAAATACTTGCAGGTAAATGAATTTCTTCCCATGTTATGGAGCTGGAATTGTTATGTGTGATAGCATGTAGTATACTAGAAATTTCTTTAATCCAGTAATCTGTCATATTTCACATTAGAACGGGATTTAACAGAAAGTCTACACGCTCATCTTCACCCTCGGGGCTAAGCCCCTGATCTCCTAGAATCCTAGATCCTCCCCTGGCTTGTGCAGCTCTCAGTAAGTAAACGTACAGTTTGTGGATCCTGTGCTCCGCACTGAGGCAGGACTGCAGTCGAATGGTGATTATTGCAATGCTGTGCATGGCCTCTGTGCACTCATGACGCAACTTCATCCTGAGAAAAAAGAGGGGAGTAACAGACAGGAATGAGAGGGGGGTCAAATAACCTGCAGTTTTCTGAATGCTCGTGTCTCACATGTAGCTGTGGTAGCCCTGCAGCAGCAGCTCTCTGTACGTGTGAAGCTGCTGTACGATCCTCTTGTACTGGTGGACTATTCCCACTGTTACCTGAAGGAGAAGCCAACAAACCATCAGTGAATTGCTGATGATAAAAAAATGGAAAAATGCAGCAGTACCTTGGAGAAATTATAATCCGTCACCACGTCAAACCTGGATGGGATGGGGGGCGTCTCCGCTGCATAGAAATGATTATTATCATATTATTGAAGTCATTGTTTATGTTTCAGACCAAAAGAATAAGAACGCGAGTCGCCTCACGTTCTCTGAAGGGCAGGCTGGTGTTGGTTTCCGGCGCGCTGCTGAGCAGAATAAGAGGCTGAGACGCTGAAGTACAGGGAAGGTTCACCACCTTCATGGCGCCCTCCAGAACCAGGTCATGACCCAGGTACATGAGCTGCTGCTGCTGGATGCCAATACCAGTCTGGGCCGCCACCTCTTCAAAGAACACCGACACTCTGTGGAGCGCCAGAGGAGACATGTTTGGGTTTATTTCAGCCATATTGTTTTGTCAGTTTGAGAAAACAGCTGCGATACGTTGCTGCAGTTTCCAAACTGCTCTGGGCTCTTTCTGCATGGAGTTTGCATGTTCTCCCTGAGCATGTGCGGGTTCTCTCCGGGTACTCCCGCTTCCTCCCACAGTCCAAAAACATGACTGTTAGGTTAACTGGTTTCTCTAAATTCTCCTTAGGTGTGAGTGTGTGCGTGTGAATGGTTGTTTGTCTCTGTGTTGCCCTGCGACGGACAGGGGACCTTTCCAGGGTGTACCCCGCCTCTCGCCCATAGACAACTGGAGAGGCACCAGCACCCCTGGGGTTTAAAGAGCCATATTTATCTTTTGATTGTATTTCAAGTAAAATATTAGCCTCTAAAAACGGATCTGTTCTGTATAATAATAATATTATACTCATTAGATGGCATCAAGTCTCTACAGTTCAAAGTAAATGTATAACACCCTGGTAAGATGCTAAATGTTCAGTTATATACATATATATATTTTTTTTCATTTTTAATCGTTGGTTATGTCTCACTTTTGCATTGTATCTCAGTTTAACAAGAATGTTGGTCACCTTATGAGCGCGAGTATTTAAAGGCACGTCGCTGACTTTGTGACCTAAAGAGTTGATGCATATGAGTTATTTTAAATGATTTCTCGGGACCAATATATAGCACTTGACACTATCAATGCTACGAGCGGGGCTCCCCTTCTTGAAATACCAAATATGTAAGTTGGGAGAAGATGCACCGCCATTGGCCAGGTCATGTGACCTGGAAGAACATATGGCTTTACGGCCACAGGCTTATATCGCCATGGAGCTAAGGCTTTTACTCTATTTTACTATTTTTCTGCCTACTCTACTGGTCATGGCTGAGGCAAGGAAAAAGTTTAAACCTTCTGAGTGTTGGGATCTGGAGGTCTGTCCACTTTCTCCACCAGAGGGCGTACGAGATCTCCTGGAGCCGGAGCTGATTGCACCACCTGTCTCTCATCTGCTCATCAGGAGATCCGTATTTAAGGAGGCGGAGGGCTTCTCTCCAGTGCCAGAGTGTTTGCCAGTAACGGTTAGCAAGCCTGAGCCAACCAGCCTGTCTGAAACTCTGACTTCTTGAGAACCTGAACCTGTTCTGTTTTCTCCTCTCTGCTTCCTAGACTGAACCTGCCTGAAACCTGAAACTCTGAAGAGTTTCTCTGCCGGTGATCTTGCTGTCCGTTCTCAGAAGATACTGGAAGGAAACTCTTAATCATTGATCTGCCTGCACTCATTAAGCTCTGCCTCCGCCTAGCCCTCAGCCTGCCGACAGCCTTTGGAACCTCAAGGTTCCCCCCCTCAGCTGCTCTGCTCTACTCCAGAACAGGTACAGCCCTGCACACTCTCAATCCTGCAAAATACCTAGACCTCCACTAACTCCTCTGTCCCCCTCTGCAGCGAACCCACTCATGACCAGACGAGTTCCCCACTGGACCTGATCATTTAACCTGTACATTCATCTTTTAATAAACCTTTGAACTTTTCTCCTGCCTCTGAGTGTTCTGCATGTGGGTTAGACACGTTAAATCAAACATGACACTGAGGCCAAAAAGAGAAAACGTGAAAGGGATCGTGTGCGAGGAAAAACAAGAGCAGATCACGGAAAGGTTTATTCGTTGGCGCACGCTATAAGAAGGAGTTGGATGTAAAAACCATTCTCTTTTTTCAACTTTATTATTAGTTAACACTTTGCTCCTAGTGTGCAGTCATATATCTTTGTTATTATTCTCAATGTTTAGTAGAAGTAAAATACAGTCTAAGAGAGCTAGCAGGCTACAAACAAAAGCTAATTGAGACGCCCAGTCCGAGTCCCTCTTCACTGGACAATCCCCTCTAACGACCCCCCTTTCAGAGACATAGACAGGTTTGGAGCATTGAAGCCTGACAGAAGAAGCCAAACGACCCCCATTCCAACGGGACGGACCCGTTCGTCTGTTTCAATTTGCATGTTTTCTAAAGGCTTTGTTTTTGGTCCGCTCTATAAAGCCTGGAACTCAACGCTATTACTGACATTTTGAATTGAAAAAGCTTCCTGGATGGGAAGCCAAACATGTTCAAACTTGGAAACAAAGTCCAGTGGATTGTTCTTGTTAACTTTTTTGGAATGACTATGACCTGGATGACTGAGAATCTTCACCAGCATCTTCTTTGGCGCTCCGCCACTGGTCCGCCACGTTGGCGGTCTGGACATCTTGCCCCGGCGGTGCTCTCCAGAGAGCAGCAGAGTTTCTCACGCCCTCTGAGCTGAACCTAGACGCCTAGCGTGGTCCCCAATGAAAAGACACGGGATGCTGGGCGGCTGTTTTTTTTTTTTTTACTTTTACAACAGTGCTGCAGCACTACCACTAGCACCCCTAGTGGCTAAAGTTACAAGGTGTTCCTTTAAGGGGAACTGGTAGAATTCTGTTAGAATTCCTCGGAGGCCGATTAGGTCACAGCGCGGCGCTGAGGTCTGGTTGGATTCCAAGACTCCTCGTTATGCGACATACAAATGCATCTTTCTTTTTGCCTGATTTCTAAGGAAGGGTCCGATGTATCCTCTCTGCCCTTAGATATCCCAGGATTCATTGCGAGACCAAGCAAGCCAGCTGCTCCGTGATCAGAGGAAAAAGATACTTGGCTCCCAACAGTGGTGAATATTGGAAGTTCAGTTTAGTTCTGTGAATAGTTCCATCTGAGATGAATGAAAATAGTTGTTTTATTGGTTATTGATTCAGATATGTGGCGGTTTGTTTGATTTATCTAAAGGTTTTTATCTGTTACTGTGTAAATGGGTTAGGCTGTAATTTAAAGGAATAGTACACCCAAAACATGATTAGCCTTCATTTTCTACTCACCCCCATGCTGAACAACACTCTGGAGTACTTTTTTGATATCTCAAATGCATCTGGAGATCTGGGAGGCTTCTTGCTGTCTGCTGACATTCAAATAATGGAGGTCTATGGCGCCCGAGACAGAAAGGTCCATAAAAGTCCACAAAAAACGTGTCAATATTCCTCCATACTGCTCGTCCAATGTATTCCAAGTGTCCTGAGTGGGTAGCATCCAGAATTTACTCGAAACAAAGTCATTTAGAATGTTTTTAAAGCATAAACAGTAGTGTATAGGATTTCCTGAAAGCGCGATTTCCTGCGCGTTCACGACGCTACGGAAGCCGGCAGACCAAACCAGATGAAAGTGCGCATTCAGCGTCTGCTCTGCCGATAATGCAAGCGTAGAAGAAGAAATGTGCTGTTTACCTGTGCAAAGAAAGAAACAACGAAAGAAAAATGTCTGAGGACTTCATTGTTGAGGAAGAGCATGAGTTCTTTGCCGAGCTGATTGCGCACTTTCATCTGGTTTGGTCTGCCGCGGTTTCCGTAGCGTCGTGAACGCGCTTTCAGGAAATCCTATACACTACTGTTTATGCTCTAAAAACATTCTAAATGACTTCGTTTCGAGTAAATTCTGGATGCTACCCAATCAGGACACTTGGAATACATTGGACGAGCAGTATGGAGGAATATTGACACGTTTTTTGTGGACTTTTATGGACCTTTCTGCCTCGGGCGCCATAGACCTCCATTATTTGAATGTCAGCAGACAGCAAGAAGCCTCCCAGATCTCCAGATGCATTTGAGATATCAAAAAAGTACTCCAGAGGGTTGTTCAGCATGGGGGTGAGTAGAAAATGAAGGCTAATCATGTTTTGGGTGTACTATTCCTTTAAGGACAGATTCTAATATATCTGCAGGGCAGGGACTATAAATCTGATAGGATGTTTATCTTTTTATTGCTGTTTTGCACAATTTGCTTTAAAGTATTTATTGTTGCTGAATATTAGAGATTTTGCAGATATATGTTTTATACATACATAGTTTAGATTTACTTATATATTTCTACCCCTTTTATAGAATAAAGTAGAATAGAAAACCTCTTCAGTGTCCCACAATGGGCAAATTTACAGCAGCAGAAAGATTATTGAAAATAATTGAACAAATATGGACCTTAGAAAAATGTATAACAATAACAATAGTTAAAATGTAAACAATAAAATACTGTACTATAAAGTTTTTTAACAATATAAAACTGTGCATCTGGAGAATAAATAACCAATATCCAGCTATGGACATTTTTACAGTAATGGATATTTGAAAATAGCGGCAACATCAGAGATGTGCAAAATGACAGCAGCATGTTGTTTAACTAAGTAAGGTTTGTATCATTACATTAGCTTTTATTTGTTGTTCACGTCGGTTGGCACCTTTATTCCACATTAGTGAAGTCTTTGTTCACTTTCCAATGAAAAAAAAAATTAAAAAATGAAAAAGAAACAGTTTTGAAAAGTTAGGTATTCATTCATTTCCTGCTTTGTGTGTTAACTGTCACAATTGCTAGGGGACAGAGCGTACAGCGGTAAAAGCCCCCAAAAGGCTAGAACTGTTTGAATTAACAGCCAAAGTTTCTCAGGTGACAGTAGCCCCCCATTTGCACTACCCTTTTGAAACCGTGCAAAGATGAGTGCAAATGGCACGCAAAACTGAACCAGACAGTGCCAGACACAACCGAACCGCGCTATACTGGTACTACTTCATCAGTAGGGCTCGGCTCGGTTCAGTTCTGGCTCAGTTCTCAGATAACAAAAAGCGCACGAGCAGACCGCGTCATCTCCTTACAGTCAGCCTCCACAAACATGAAATTTCAGATAAATTGGATCGGGGGGGGGGTGGACCACATTCAGGCGCAGACATACGTGTTGTAGTGATGTATGTAAATGCTGTGAGCCACGGCCTGCTGCAGGGAGAACAGATGAACCGGCTGCCGCTGCAGTATGTCAGTAGTGGCTGTGAAGAACTGGTCGAAACCCCAACACCTCCCCTGGTCAGCCTCCATTATGCCTGCGAGCACCGGAACTAGAAGGACTTTCAGACCCCTGCAGACAAACAGATACAACTTTGAGTAAAAATGGAAAGAAACGGATGTAAAGAGGATAAAGATATCCAGACTTACTGAGAGAGCTGGCAGCTGTACGGCAGGTGGTAGCTCCACTGTATGGGACCACCTTCCACCTGCTGAGTACCGGCTATCGCCCCCATGGGTTTCTCTGTGGTTATCTTGTACCTAAAGAATGAGTCAAACAGGAAAGGGAACGTTGGAGGTGTCCGAAACTCCAAACAGAATTGAGATGGGCGCTAGAAACGGCAGCTTACATGGTGAGTTTGTTTTTACGGGGTCCTTCGTACGGCGTGAAAGGCAGACTCCCTGTGGCGGAGTGGTACAAGGTCACGCCGATACTCCACAAGTCCACGCTCACGCCGTAGGATTTCTGATGAGGCTTACGAAGCACGGCGCGTTCATACATGTCTGGGTGCTATTCATGGAAAGAGAGAAAGTGGAGGAAAAATGTGGCTGGACATAAGCTCTGGACTTTTCAATACGCTATGCATACGCCCAAAATTGAAAAAGCAGATAGAAAGTTCAGCTTATGGCAGTGATTTAGATGATTCTGGGACGTCTGGCTAAATCGGCATGTGTGACAGGGCTCTGTAGAGTATAGTCGGCTTACAGTGGAGTTGTCATTTTCGTTAGGACTGCATTTTGTTTTTTTTTATTTAGAAAATCTAAAACTTGTTAAATTGCCTAATCTCAAAAATGAAAAAAAACCTACCAGATATTCTTCAGTTCCATAAATAGACACAAACTTCTCGTCGTCCTCCAGCTCTCGAGCTGCTCCAAAGTCCGTCAGCTTGTAGACAGACTTGCCATCTTCTCCCACTTGCCTCATGATGTTCCCCGGCTTGATGTCCCGATGTACCACCCCGTACTCCCTCAGATGGTTCATACCCTGCACTGTGGAGGCCACATGTTGAGGACAAACGTAAAACATGAGCCAGAATCACACGTGGGAACCTACCGATGCACTGAAGCACGGTGAGGAACTCCGCTTCAGGCAGGCCGAAGGCGTTCTCTGGATCCTCCAGCAGGTTGAGGAGACTCCCTCCTGAGCAGTACTCCATCACCAGAACCTTCTGCTTCGTCTGCAGCTGCCAGGAGAACAACAAAGTCGGGAGCCTTAACTTTTTTTGTGGGCATCATTTGAAAATAGAAAAAAAGTTCAGACTTTAAATTGGAAAAATCTGCAAGCTTATATTTGTATCACTACCTCCTCAACAGCAAACAGTCTCACAATGTTGCTGTGGTTCAGCTTCCTGAGCATCTCGAACTCCCTCATCTGGACATCGTGGGGGCGGCTGTAGCTCAGCACATTGAACACTTTGACAGCCACCAGCTCGCCGGATCTCTGCACAAACACGCATCCCAAACATCACACAACAGCGTCACAGACAGCCCACACCACTGCAGCCACAGCACTTTCTTATCTCTGAAGCTGCATCAGCAAAAGACGTCTGAGCTGATGACTAAAATGATACGGGAAGTACTGCTGATGTCAAACGGCTCTTCAGGCGTGAGTACCTTGTTACGCGCCTTGTACACGCTGGCGGTGGCCCCTTGACCGAGGACGTCATGTACCGACCACAAGTAGTTGGTGGTGCTTCCTGTTATCCCCGACATGCTGAAAGGGAAGCAGCAGGAAGAAGAGTCATGCAAGAGCTGAAACGAATGAGACAAACCAACTTCATCCCTACAAATATTTTAAGAAGTGGACAAAAAAAAGGAATCTGGTGTTAGCCAGCATACCCTCAGTAATACGCATTACATGGAGGTTTGATAGTTCCACCACACACATTAGCTTTTGTTTTGTTTTTTTAATAATTGCAAGTCCGTTTGATGAATGATTTGTATTTTTTCACAGAGATTAAACATTTATAGGGAGAGGATTCTAAAACTCAGGATATGAGATTTATTGGGTTTTAGTTTGTTTATCATAGGCGGCATGCTGATTATTTTATCTTTATTCAGTTTTAATTTAGAGAACATGAAGAACTGCTGAAATTATTTTCAGATTACACTTTAATTCCAAGGGTGAAAAGGAATGACTTAAGGGTTAGGATCTGAGGCAATCCTATGGGACGGATAGCTTCTAATGACGATCATGCGCGCATGCGTATTACTAAGGGTGTGCTGGAATACCCGTTAAAAAATTGTTCTTGAATGATTTAGCTCCACACAACATCGCCAGAAGTATTTTTGAACGGGGGTGCTGTGAAAATGTTTTGCTTTTGTTTGGTTAAGAGACCTATGAGCCTAAAGAACTATTTAAAATACAAAAAAATAAATCAACAAGCAAATAGACTGAGATTCACTACTTTATTGTTATATACACTTCAGTGCATGCAACCAGGGTCTGTAACACACAGACATCCTCAGTTTTCAGGTGAGTATATGCACTATTAATTAAACATCACAATAACACCATAGATTTGGTCAGCTGGCATGTCCCTGAGTCACTATGTTCATCTCCAAAATCCTTTTAAGCAAACCACAAGGAAATAATTATATTATTACACTATTTAAAACTATTGAACAGTTCTCCACATCCATTACACAAAGAACCCAGGATCGAAATAACACTCTGAAATACTATGCTTACCTTAAACTGCACAAATAGATGCTCTAACTTTGAACTACAGGCAGGTTGCCATGGTTACATGTTGAATTGCGCCCTGAGGTCCTGGAGATAAAGTCTCTCATCGGCGGACGAATCTGAAATGCATTTCTGTGCCATATTTCCTCCTCCTTTCTGTCATTTGAATATGTAAATTTACTAGTCTGCCGTGAGCGGAATTCCTCTTTACTCGGCAACCTCTAGCTTACTTGATGTTGCCATTAAAACGTAATGTCGTAAACTTGTGTTGATTAGGTCTCAAAATAAGAAAATAGAAAGTCAGAAGACACGTTATCGTAAAATGAAAAAAGGCTCAATCATTTCCCAAAATATTCATAAGAAATTTCTTAATTGGGGAAAGTATCTTTAAAACATTTTCTCATTCTCGCCACTAGGTGGTGCTGCAGCACCCCCGCTTCCCGCGGCCATGGCTCCAAAGGAGAGTCATTCATAAGAAGTGTTCAATTCTTTTCAATGTGATGATCATGGCCGTTTCTCTATTCACTAGAACGCGAGTTCAGACTCGTGTCCTCGCAAAGTATGTTCTTGAGAAGAACACAGGAAAGTGTGGACTCTGGGAGAACAGGAGCACGCAGCAAAAATATGGGTCAATTGGAACAGAAGCGTAGTTGTGACATCACCACACGCTCGGCTCATTTAGAGCTGCATTTCACCTCCTGCTATTAATAGTTTCTAGATCATAATAAATTCTGACTTTTTTCATTTAGTGCCGGAATAATAATGAACACAGTCAGATAAACACAAATCAAATGAGCATTTTGCCAAATAAAAAAAAAAAAATCGGCATCAGAGCCAGCAGTCCTTCATACACGGCTATGCAGAGAGACGGGCTAACGTTAGCCCTTGCTGCCATCCATATTCCATGCAGCTGCTGTGACCCCTCTGTGTCACGTCTGCTTGCTCATGTTAGGCTTCACTTTTTCACTTTTCACAAACAATATTGCACTTTTGAGAAAGTTTTGTTCACATCTCAAGTTAAAAAAGTCTGATTTACAATTTGCACTTTGTGTTTAAAATGACAAGAAAAAGTAAAATATATGAGTGTTTTGAAACGCAGTTGAACCACTTTCATTATTGTAAAAACAGATCAAATCGAAATTAATTGATTTAGAACTGTATGAATCAAAATTGAATTGATTGAGGACTTTGGGGAAAATACCCAGCCCTAATCGTGACGACCCAAAGTTGTTTCCTTCACCCCACGTTTAAACAGAGTAAGACCAAAAACAGGATTGTGGTGAGAGAAGCTGGCTCGTACCGTAGCGCTGTATCCAAACAGCTGAAGGGAAAGTTAAGTGGAAGGAAAACATGTGGTAGGTTAAGGGGGAACAAAGAAAGCAGAAGCAGACAGAAACTGGAAATTTAATTTTGATAGCCAGAAAGATATTGAAATATATGGTGATATTGTAATATGGTGATAGTATCGTATTGTGACCAAGTATCGCAACACCCATGCCAATACTCACCCCTAGTATAATGTTTACAATATTTTCACGACTATAAGGCGCATATAAACGTCTTTTTTTTCCCTCAAAATGTGTGGCGCGCCCTATGGTGCGGTGCGCCCTATCTGCGGACGTTGTTGAGACCACCATGAGAATGTTAAAGGGGGAAGTGTGGGCGTGGCTTGTGTATAAAAGAACAGGTATGTGCTTTATGCAGAACATTGTTGTCTTAACAACCCTAAAAATGGCAAAGAGACACGCCTATGAAGCACAGTTTAAACTGAAGGCTATCAGCTACGCAGAGGAACATGGAAATCGAGCAGCCGCGAGAGAATTCAAGATTAATGAATCGATGGTTTGCAAGTGGAGGAAGATGGAAAACGAACTCCGACAGGTGAAGAAGACGCAGCTGAGTTTCCACGGACTTAAGGCGAGGTGGCCCGGGTTGGAGGAAAGACTCGAGCTGCAGATCATCGAGCAAAGAACGAGTGGGGCGAGCGTTTCGACGGTCACTGTTCCACTAAAAGCAGTAAAGCTAGCGGAAGAGATGAAAATTGAACATTTTCAAGGAGGTCCGTCGTGGTGCTTTCGTTTTATGAAACGGTGCCATTTTTCCATCTGGACCAGGACTACAGTAGCGCAGCAACGTCTGGCGGATTATAATGAAAAGCTGCCGAGCTTCCACTCCTACTGCAGCAAACACATCACCGACAAACGCATCCAGCCAAACCACATCACCAACATGGACGAGGTGCAGCTCACTTTCGACATCCTGGTGAATCACACGGTGGAGAAGAAGGGGACCAGCACTGTAGCGATACACACAACGGGGTATTAAAAGGACCGTTTTTTCCACGTATCACCATTGCTGTTAATCTGTGACTCCATGCGTGCCCATCTCACAGCCGATGTGAAAAAAAAGGTGAAACAAATGAACGCTGTGCTCGCCGTTATCCCGGGGGGTCTGACAAAGGAACTTCAACCGCTCGACATCGGTGTGAACCGGCCGTTCAAAGTAAGGCTGCGAGCGGCGTGGGAGCGATGGATGACCGACGGAGACCACAGTTCCACGAAAAGTGGAAGGCAGCGCCGGGCAAGTTACGCCACCATTTGCGGATGGATTGTAGATGCTTGGACTAACGTGTCTGCTGGCACTGTTGTTCGAGCTTTTGCAAAAGCCGGCATCATTTCCGAGGAGCCGCACGTCACGGATAGTGACTCTGACAGCGAAGAAGGGGAAACTGGCATGTCTGATTTAGCGCAGCTGTTTAATTCAGAAACAGAGGATGATGACTTTGATGGGTTTGATTAATACTTTGTAATAAATACACGAATAAAGCACAATCATACTCAGTTTTGCTCCCGCTCTATTTTTAAATACGCAGTAGAGGTATTTAAACGTAGTAGAGGACATGCACCTGTATATAAAAAACGCGCCCTATAATCCGATGCGCCTTATGTGTGTGTTAAATACAGAAATGACACACATAACTGAGACTGAGCCTTTTAGTACGGTGCGCCTTATGGTTGTGAAAATACCGTAGTTTACATATCAGACTTATTTATGTAACTATTGTCCTGAAGAAGCCTAATTTAAATGTGTATATTTTTTTATGCTTCTGGGCCCATGAATGGGATCATTCAGTTATCTAAGAAAGACTGCAAAGAAATAAGAGTTCTTTTTTTTAAATAATAAGTTTAATCCTTATCTAACAGTATCACAAAATATGGTGATTAAACTTAAGTCTGTATCGCTCAGCTCTGTCCTTATAATCATCATAATTATAAATGAACTTTATTGATCTCACATTGGAGAAATTTACCGCTGCATTTAACCCATCCCCTTGGGGAGCAGTGGGGTGCCATCCTGGGGCGCCCGGGGAGCGGGGTGGGGTTAAGGGTCCTGCTCAAAGGGCCAGAGTGACAGTCTGTGGGAGTGGGTTTGATGATTCCAAGCTCTATGCCCTAACCACTAGGCCATCATTCCCTACAAAGGCTTAATGCTTTTGTTTGTGGAGCTGGATCTTAATTATTTGTGACTAAATAATAAAAATACATTGTTTTTCTTGACATCTAGTGAACAAACTCCACACTAGTGTGTTAAAGTCAAACTTTAAACCAGGGGGTTTTTCAGCATTTTTCGGGCCAAGGGCCCCCAAACTGATGGTGAGATGGACCCCCTAATTATATATATTATATGAAATAGTGTTCTATCAAACTGGTCCTATAGTCCCTCTATTACAGATGGAGTAATGTAATGTAAGTAATGTCTCCCTGGGATTATTAAAGTATTTCTGATTCTGCTTCCTGGTTGATGGGACAGGTGTTGTGAATGAAAAGGTGCCCAGCTTGAAAGAGCTCCTGTGTGTCTCTGAATGTCTGCATTGATGACTGAAAGACATCTTCTTCCTCCATTTATCTGTTTACTACAGCGTGTTGAATTCATTTTAATGTTTATTTAAAGACATTTCAATTAGTGGAAAAAGATTGCATGGGGTATATAAAAAAGTCTAATCAACCGAAACTTTCGTGACCCCCATGCAGTACCTCTGTGGACCCCCTAGGGGTCGCGGACCCCCCTGTTGAAGACCTCCGCTTTAAACCATCGCTACACAGCAGGTGAAATAAGGTTGCTACCTGTCCCCAGCATTTAAACCCACACAACCGGGATTCGAACCCGTACCCCCGGCATTGGACCAATTAAATTAACGAGGTACAACGAGGCTACATGCTAATTAGCAGTTAGCTACATAGTTTCAGGTAGTAACAGTTGTTTAGCTAACTGGTAATAAAGTTAGCAGCTCAGTTAGCAGCTCAGTTAGCTCACCTGGTTCCGGCTCTGCAGTTTGCTGAGCTGTTATTCATCTTTCACTCTTTCTTTAATCCGTTTAACTCGATCCAAGACTCAAACCTTTGAGCTGAGGAGAAAACTCCCTCGCCTGGGAACAAAAATAGGCCAATGTTTAATAAGTTGTTTAGCAGAAGAAGACAGTGACAGACGGCATGCCGCAGGACCGGCCGTGTTCCCTGAGTGTGACAGCAGGGTTTAAGTTGGATTCCTGAAAGGCAGCAGCAGCAGGCTGTCTCTGTTTGTGGCTGATCCGTCTGATGGAGGAAGTGTGTGGGCTTCAAAAGGGGCGGACGTTTCTGGGTGGGTAATGGCAGCGGAAATAACAAGGGGACTTACAACCTTTTAATTTCACTTATTTAACCAGAAGCTGCGCAAATAAGCGACCTGGATGCTGCCGGAAAGGCCCAGCAGGCAGAAGGAAAACAGTGCAATAACTTATAGAGAAGGTATAAGTTATAGAACACAAGTCTACGGAAGAGGCTTAGGGCCACTGAGAAAATAAGAAAGTTACTGATTTTTTAAAGAATTTCTGACTTTAATTTCAGAATTCTGACTTAAATCTCAGAATTCTGACTTTAATCTCAGAATTCTGACTTTTTTGTTAGAATTCTGACTTAAATCTTAGAATTCTGACTTTTTTGTTAGAATTCTGACTTTAATTTCAGAATTCTGACTTAAATCTCAGAATTCTGACTTAAATCTCAGAATTCTGACTTTTTTGTTAGAATTCTGACTTTAATTTCAGAATTCTGACTTTTTTGTTAGAATTCTGACTTTAATTTCAGAATTCTGACTTAAATCTTAGAATTCTGAATTTTTTGTTCGAAGTCTGACTTAAATCTCAGAATTCTCACTTTTTTGTTAGAATTCTGACTTAAATCTTAGAATTCTCACTTTTTTGTTGGAATTCTGACTTAAATCTTAGAATTCTGACTTTTTTGTTAGAATTCTGACTTAAATCTTAGAATTCTGAATTTTTTGTTCGAAGTCTGACTTAAATCTCAGAATTCTCACTTTTTTGTTAGAATTCTGACTTTAATTTCAGAATTCTGACTTTTTTGTTAGAATTCTGACTTTAATTTCAGAATTCTGACTTAAATCTTAGAATTCTGAATTTTTTGTTCGAAGTCTGACTTAAATCTCAGAATTCTCACTTTTTTTTAGGATTCTGACTTAAATCTTAGAATTCTCACTTTTTTGTTGGAATTCTGACTTAAATCTTAGAATTCTGACTTTTTTGTTAGAATTCTGACTTTAATTTCAAAATTCTGACTTTTTTGTTAGAATTCTGACTTTAATTTCAGAATTCTGACTTAAATCTTAGAATTCTGAATTTTTTGTTCGAAGTCTGACTTAAATCTCAGAATTCTCACTTTTTTGTTAGAATTCTGACTTAAATCTTAGAATTCTCACTTTTTTGTTGGAATTCTGACTTAAATCTTAGAATTCTGACTTTTTTGTTAGAATTCTGACTTAAATCTTAGAATTCTGAATTTTTTGTTCGAAGTCTGACTTAAATCTTAGAATTCTCACTTTTTTGTTGGAATTCTGACTTAAATCTTAGAATTCTGACTTTTTTTGTTAGAATTCTGACTTTAATTTCAGAATTCTGACTTAAATCTCAGAATTCTGACTTTTTTGTTAGAATTCTGACTTAAATCTTAGAATTCTGACTTTTTTTGTTAGAATTCTGACTTAAATCTTAGAATTCTGACTTAAATCTCAGAATTCTGACTTTTTTGTTAGAATTCTGACTTTAATTTCAGAATTCTGACTTAAATCTCAGAATTCTGACTTTTTTGTTAGAATTCTGACTTAAATCTTAGAATTCTGACTTAAATCTCAGAATTCTGACTTTTTTGTTAGAATTCTGACTTTAATCTCAGAATTCTGACTTTTTTCTCATAATTCTCATTTTTTCCTCATAATTCTGAACATAATAAAACATAAATATGGATCTAGGCACAAAATGAGCTCCTTGATATGTGCTTTAGAATGGCTTTGTCTCCATTCAAATCCAGGTTTAAAGCCTTGCAGGGCAGCATAAAGCCCACTGCTCTCATTAAGACAGAAAAACAGTGTTTCACAGTCTTTTATAAAATATGTGAATCAGGAAATTGTCTATATACCAAACCTAACAATTGTTGTTCTCTACTTCAAAAAACACATTAGATTTTAAATGGAAACATTTTCTTTTTTTTCTTTATATTTAAAAATTCAGTGTGTAACATGGATGCATAAAAACCTCATTTTATTTCAGTGTTAAATTCTGTTTAAAGTTACAGATTCTAATGAAATATGTCTCCAAACCTTTACTGGTTGTTGATGTTCTTTATTTGCACCCTGCTGATTTTTTATTGGTTACCCCTGGTTTATAGGGTTGTAAAACCATCATGCTTTGTCTGTAATCTGTTGAAAAATGCCAGAAAGGATGTTTTCTTGTGATGTGTATGTTGAACCAGCCAGTGCATGTCGTCCAAACCCAGTAAATCCAAAGTTTCTAGAGTGCCTTTCACTGACCGTCTGGGTGAGTTTTAATGCACTCTTTTAGCAATCCTGTGGGAAGAATCACCATTTTTACATCCTTTATCTCTCTAGATAATGTCTGACACTGATTCACTAAAGTGAGAAAACCTGGAAATGTGTTTTAACTCACAGATGTCAAAACTTTACATGTTTGCTCTTTTACATCTTGGCAGTAGGCTACTTGTTGCTTTTTGAGATCTTTAAGCCATATTTACATTTTCATACAGGATCTATTTCAGAGATATCTTGAATCATTGGATCTGTGTGCACATTATTTTACCAAGATAAAAAAAAACATATTTAGATAATAATATATAATTTCTCATATTATCTGTTAAATATGATTTTGTTTGTTTAAATAGCATTTTGCTATTATGAAATAGTTTTTTCTTGATTTTAGACACCAGGTTTTTGCACTGAAAAAACCCCAAAAGGTGATTGATTACAATTAAAGGTCATAGCTACAACCTTTAATTAAAACAATTTTCAGAAAATAACTAATCCACAGAACATATAGAGAAATTCAGAACAAAAGTATTAATTACATTCAATAAAAAAAGTACTCTGAACTGTTAAAGGTATAGTGAACAATGTTCTTTTTCCGGGTTGATCATCTAAATAAGTAGTCCTCCTAATTGCCAATCATTCTGGTGATTTGTTTACGTAAGGCCGTCCTACGTGCTTGTCCCCATTATCACTTACCGGTGGTGAGTCTGACATACTGAAAAAAATTGCAAATCTTCATTTGGAAAGTTCGCTTGTATGAGTAATTCAAACAGCTACTTTTAAACAGAGCGTGCACAAGGAGAAATGGCATCGTGCACACTCTCATGAGTTTAATAGACATTCTCTCTCTGGAGCGGGTACAGGGTTGTGACATGGCTGCAGCCTGTCGAGAGTAAAGATTATTTCACAGTGTTATCTATCTATCTATCTATCTATCTATCTATCTATCTATCTATCTATCTATCTATCTATCTATCTATCTATCTATCTATCTATCTATCTATCTATCTATCTATCTATCTATCTATCTATCTATCTATCTATCTATCTATCTATCTATCTATCTATCTATCTATCTATCTATCTATCTATCTATCTATCTATCTATCTATCTACAAACTTGAGTCATGGAACTGTGTTTAGAGCTCCTTATTTCATGTAAACTAATACACTCACCGGCCACTTTATTAGATATCCCATGCTAGTAACGGGTTGGACCCCCTTTTGCCTTCAGAACTGCCTCAATTCTTGGTGGCATAGATTCAACAAGGTGCTGGAAGCATTCCTCAGGGAGTTTGGTCCATATTGACATGATGGCATCACACAGTTGCCGCAGATTTGTCGGCTGCACATCCATGATGCGAATCTCCCGTTCCACCACATCCCAAAGATGCTCTATTGGATTGAGATCTGGTGACTGTGGAGGCCATTTGAGTACAGTGAACTCATTGTCATGTTCAAGAAACCAGTCTAAGATGATTCCAGCTTTATGACATGGCGCATTATCCTGCTGAAAGTAGCCATCAGAAGTTGGGTACATTGTGGTCATAAAGAGATGGACATGGTCAGCAACAATACTCAAGTAGGCTGTGGCGTTGCAACGATGCTCAATTGGTACCAAGGGGCCCAAAGAGTGCCAAGAAAATATTCCCCACACCATGACACCACCACCACCAGCCTGAACCGTTGATACAAGGCAGGATGGATCCATGCTTTCATGTTGTAGACGCCAAATTCTGACCCTACCATCCGAATGTCGCAGCAGAAATCGAGATTCATCAGACCAGGCAACGTTTTTCCAATCTTCAATTGTCCAATTTCGATGCGCTTGTGCAAATTGTAGCTTCATTTTCCTGTTCTTAGCTGAAAGGAGTGGCACCCGGTGTGGTCTTCTGCTGCTGTAGCCCATCTGCCTCAAAGTTGGACGTACTGTGCGTTCAGAGATGCTCTTCTGCCCACCTTGGTTGTAACGGGTCGTTATTTGAGTCACTGTTGCCCTTCTATCAGCTCCAACCAGTCTGGCCATTCTCCTCTGACCTCTGGCATCAACAAGGCATTTCCGCCCACAGAACTGCCGCTCACTGGATGTTTTTTCTTTTTCGGACCATTCTCTGTAAACCCTAGAGATGGTTGTGCGTGAAAATCCCAGTAGATCAGCAGTTTCTGAAATACTCAGACCAGCCCTTCTGGCACCAACAATCATGCCACGTTCAAAGTCACTCAAATCACCTTTCTTCCCCATACTGATGCTCGGTTTGAACTGCAGGAGATTGTCTTGACCATGTCTACAAGCCTAAATGCACTGAGTTGCCGCCATGTGATTGGCTGCTTAGAAATTAAGTGTTAACGAGCAGTTGGACAGGTGTACCTAATAAAGTGGCCGGTGAGTGTAACTTGTGTACATGATACTTGTTGATGGCAATAAAATTATTTGTTAATAGCATCAAAAGAGCATTAAATTAGAGTTCCACATTCCTGTATAAACCCTGTGAAAGTTTAATTTAATATAAAAGAAATCCCCATCATCATCCAGCAGATGTTCAGTTTCTGCCCAAATATTTTCTTTCTGTTGTGGATTTTTGTAACAGGGATAACTAGGATCAAAAATAGTTTGTATGAACTATGTTTGTTCTCTGCTTCCAAACTCATCATCTCTTCATCCATTCCTGCCATAAGAATTTTCTTTTAAAGTTGTGAGATGTGCTCTAGAATCTCACAACGTCTTCCTGGTCTGTTTAAGCACCAACAGTCTGCATCCAATTATTTAATTAATTGCTCTTAGTTTTTGGGAATATATACCAACTATGCTCTAATTTCTAGTTACCGATCTGAAACCCGGTCTTCTCTACATATTTTTTCCTGTCTGGTGTGATTGCAATTGCGAGTCTTGATTGGGACGGACCGGAGCGGAGCAAAAAATAGCTCAGTTCCATATTCTGAAGGTGAAGGACAGAGAAGACGTACGTGGACGGAGACGTGCGGAGGAGTAGCGGAGGATGTGGAACCGCTCTAATTGATTTACCTGACAGACAAGTACTCCGCACGACGTACGTGAGCGGAGCGGAGCGCTGACGGAGTATGTGGAATCTGGGGGTCAGAATTCGGGGAAAAGGAGGACGCATTTTAAAGGAATAGTACACCCAAAACATGATTAGCCTTCATTTTCTACTCACCCCCATGCTGAACAACACTCTGGAGTACTTTTTTGATATCTCAAATGCATCTGGAGATCTGGGAGGCTTCTTGCTGTCTGCTGACATTCAAATAATGGAGGTCTATGGTGCGCGAGACAGAAAGGTCCATAAAAGTCCACAAAAAACGTGTCAATATTCCTCCATACTGCTCGTCCAATGTATTCCAAGTGTCCTGAGTGGGTAGCATCCAGAATTTACTCGAAACGAAGTCATTTAGAATGTTTTTAGAGCATAAACAGTAGTGTATAGGATTTCCTGAAAGCGCACACCTGCGCGTTCATGACGCTACGGAAGCCGGCAGACCAAACCAGATGAAAGTGCGCATTCAGCGTCTGCTCTGCCAATAATGCAAGCGTAGAAGAAGAAATGTGCTGTTTACCTGTGCAAAGAAAGAAACAATGGAAGAAAAATGTCTGAGGACTTCAGTGTTGAGGAAGAGCATGAGTTCTTTGCTGAGCTGAATGCGCACTTTCATCTGGGTTGGTCTGCCGCGGTTTCCGTAGCGCCGTGAACGCGCTTTCAGGAAATCCTATACACTACTGTTTATGCTCTAAAAACATTCTAAATGACTCTGTTTCGAGTAAATTATGGACGCTACCCACTCAGGACACTTGGAATACATTGGACGAGCAGTATGGAGGAATATTGACACGTTTTTTGTGGACTTTTATGGACCTTTCTGTCTCGGTCGCCATAGACCTCCATTATTTGAATGTCAGCAGACAGCAAGAAGCCTCCCAGATCTCCAGATGCATTTGAGATATCAAAAAAGTACTCCAGAGTGTTGTTCAGCATGGGGGTGAGTAGAAAATGAAGGCTAATCATGTTTTGGGTGTACTATTCCTTTAAGGCTGCATTTTAAGCGTCCTCATAATTTTTGCCAAATGGGACAGCCTTACACCGGCATCAAAATGCGTCCTCCCAAGTACGCAGCAAATTGAGACGCAGCCTATGATTGGTTGGCCTATAGAAGTTCGTTTTGGCACAAATATCTCGCAAGGAATGTGACAAAAGTCAGAGCGCGGTGTATGAGGTAAGATCACTGTGTCTCGCGAGAGCGCGTTTGTGTTCTTGCAGCAGCAGATTCAAGAAGCTGTAATGGCTAAATTGAGGTTGTAATGCAAGATTAACATATGCAAAAAATAATAATAATTACAAATAAACTATCAATAATCATTTGTCAGCTGTAATTTTTTTTATGTAAAACTATATGAACACACCAGTAAATATTTTTTTGTGCATTCACATTTAAATCAGATTTGAGTGAAAATCCTCTTCAGGTGAAGATTGGACTGACAAGTGTAATTTTTTTCTACATGGTCTTGCCTGATATGTGTTTTAGTGCAACTTCAAATTCAGTTTGTTTGTGTGCGATTTTTCTTTACAGCAGAACATTTTGGCATACAAGTTCAGATTTTTGTGGTACAAATTCTCACATTGCATTCTCAAGTTTTCACATTAAATTCACAAGTTCGTTCATTTTGGCACATATTTACCTTAATACAGTCCCCTTAGGTGTGAGTGTGTGTGAATGGTTGTTTGTCCTGTTTGTCTGTTTGTTTGAAAAACTCAGCAGCAACTGTCTTTTCCTATGTCGGCTTCAGGACTGGAAAACAAAACGTTTATTATCAGGGGCCTGTTTCAGAAAGGAGGTTAAGTGAAAACTCTGAGTTTGTTAACCCTGAAATGATGGAAACTCTGGGTTTTCTGTTTCAAAAAGGGAGGTAAGTTAAACCTGAGAAAGCAGAGTAAGTCAAGCCCAACTTATACTCAGAGTCAGTTACCATGGCAATTTACTCTGTGAACCTAACCTGGTCGGGAGCAGGTTTTCTTCAGAAAATCCAGAGTTTATTTTGGTCTCCTCCCCTTTTTTAAAGAGGAAGTGGTGTTTAAACACCTCATTGACTCTTTGGGGACATACAGTATTCATTGCACACATTTCAGTCACGTAGAGCGCATCAAAGGGAATGAAATGGCATGTCCTTTTATGGATGATCCTGTTGACAAAGAGGCTGTATTACTCCGTAAGGAGTTACATTTACGTCGGGAAAGGATTTTTAGGCCCAGAGTGGATTTTTTGTCATATCCCTATCCATTTTTATTTGAGCGTTACCGTTTTTCTTTACAGTCAATAAGATACATCCATAATCTCATCCATCCTTACATCAGAAACATCAACCATCGTGGCCGTGCTCTTACATCCGAGCAGATTCTTTGCGTTGCCTTACGTTTCTTTGCGAATGGAAGTTTTCTTTATAACATCGGGGATGCTGAACATATTAGTAAGGTTACTGTTTGCAGAGCGGTAAGGAAAGTGTGCCTCGCTCTTAAGCGCTTTCTGAGAATTTTTGTATTGTTTCCTGGGCACAAACCAGTGAGAGTCATCAAAGAGGAGTTTCACAGGATTACAGGTCAGTGGTGTATAAATCGGTTAACCTGTAAATGAGGCTAACCTGATAAATTACATTCAGTTAAGAATATCTTGCTGTGACCCCTGGAAGTAACCTAATAATTAGAATTCCCTTTAGGATTTCCGAATGTGGTTGGATGCATTGATGGCACACATATTCCGATCATTGCACCTTCTGAAAATGAAGCGGACTATGTGAACAGGAGATCCATCCACAGTATTAATGTGCAGGTACACTGACAGCCTACTGTTTCTAATGGTCAAAGACTACACCACAATACTGTAACATCTCTCATTCTTTGCACTGTCAAGATCATATGTGATGCTGCACATATAATTACAAATGTGGAGGCCAAGTGGCCTTGCTCTGTTCATGACTCAAGAATGTATCGGGAGTCAACCCTGAGCAACAGATTGGAAAGGGGTAAGTAAATGTATATCCTTTACACATATTTCAATGTATGCACTAAACACTTACAGGGGAATTTCTATGCGGCTCTAAAGCAATGTGAACTTTCTTACAGGAGAGATTGATGGCTTTCTGCTGGGAGATAGGGGTTACCCATGCCGACCAAATCTTATGGCCCCTTACCCAGAACCTGAACCAGGCCCACAGCAGCGCTTCAATGTGGCACACTGCAGGACGAGAGCCCGGGTGGAGATGACCATAGGCCTGTTGAAAGCACGTTTCCAGTGCCTACGTCACCTCAGGGTAACCCCTGAAAGGGCCTGCGACATTATTGTGGCATGTGTTGTTCTCCATAATATTGCCATAATTAGAGGGGAGCAACACCCTGCCCTACAATTACAAGACCCTGAGGAAGAGCCCATCAACCCTGCAGATTTCCAGGATGGAAGGGTAGTCCGGGATATGATATGCCGCAATGTCTTCTCAGATTAATACACATGATATCCACCACCACTACAAAAAAAACGAATAAACACAAAATCACAGCAATTTATGGTGTTCTTTATTTCATACAAATGCAACCACAAAATAAACTAATTAATAAACAAAATCACAGCAATTTATATGGTGTTCTTCATTTGCTAAAAAAAAAAAAAAAAAGATTTTAAAATAGTTTCAATACTTCCTAGAATTCACCTGTGACCATACACTCACCTCTAGCTTTAGTTTCAGAATGTCAATTTCCAGATCTGCCTTTTGGATCTGGCGGTCCAAGTATACAAGTTCTTTGCTGTTTTTTTCTATCTTATTAATAAGAAGTCTATATAACTCCTTAACTGGCAACTGAAAATACATTAGATTAGAGTCACATCATGAATGTAGTCTACAATTCAGAATGAAACTGGCATTTACTGTAAATCACTGAACTGTGTCCATCTGTGCACCAGAAGTTGATGGACCTTCCTCCTGCTGTTCTTCCACACTCTGGGGTGTAGAGATAATAATGAACATTTATAGATATAAACTTGGATTCTATAGGCTACTCCACATATAAATGTGAATGTGTAGATTGTTTGATGTGTAGACAAATAATATTAAAATTACCTCTCTAGGCCTGTCTGTGGCAGCAGAAACAATTTCTTCATCCCCATCATCCTGTGAAGATGAGCATTTCATAGAGTACACTTTATAATACTATTTGTCATAATTGATGGTGTATGGAGTAGGCTACTGACAACTGGATGGGGTACTGTTGGGACAGGACGCTCCAAGAGGCAGATATTACCATCCGAATCTGTTGGGACCAACAAAAAACCCAACCCAAAGTAATATAAATGGAAATATCACATTTAGTCTACATAAAAAAATAACACTGTAGGTAGACCTCTTACATTTTATGAAGGCACTTAAATCTTCTGGAGTGACTGGCTCTGATGAAGTCCCTCCAGGAATTCCCTCAGCCATTGGCCTTCCAGCATTTAGGCTCAGGGCCATCTCTTCTGCATTTGTCAGGGGTGGTGGTGCAGGTCCTCCCCCTGTTTTACGAGCCTCTGCCTTCTTTCTGTTGGCTGAGTAGAAGTCAAATGAGAATGAACATTTAGACCTATGTCAAAAATGCTTCTGCACTGCTAGACACTGAATGCCATTTAGTCATTTAATATGTCAAATGTTTGTAAAGCCAGGTAGCTACTCTACTCCCATGATGTGCTCAAGGCTTACCTGCTTGAAGTATGTTTTTATATTTCATTTTCAGCTGCTGCCATGTTCTTTTGATGCCTGCAGGATTGCACCTATCCATGAAAACTAAATTAGGTTTAATAAAATACTGTTCTTCCAGTTTCACGTCTGATAGTATAACAGTTGGGTAAGTTACTCTAAAATAGTTCTTAATTACTAACTACAAATTTTATCTTCAACAAGTCTAATTAGATTAATGTAATAATTACTGTCTCTAGAAAGTATTGGTCTACTTACTAATTTGTTTTACTTACTTATTAATTACTTTCTAAATCCCAAATCAACCTCAACCACTTGAACAATACAAGGAGAGACAAGAAACTGCACTTCTAATGCTTTCAAATAAACAATATTCAATTGCATGAATTAATCTGAAATTGACCAAAGTGTGTAACTAGAGGGAGAAAGTTCAAATCAAAATATACCTTTTAAAATTTGATATTAAATCCACTATTGTTTTATAGTCTTTAATTTAATTACAGTATTTATATGACTTAAGTAACTTAAGTCATTACACCCAACACTCTATAAAAGTAATTAAAATGTAAACTTACACATTGACTCGAGCAGCTATTTTCACCGAAGCTAACTCTCTCTCCTTCGCCGCTGCAGCCATGTTGCTTTTTTTTTTTTTATACATGTTCAAATTCTGCATATGCTTGCATAAGCACATCCAGTTCTGCTGGTGAGAAATATGCACACCTTTTTTTGTCTGACGCTGTTGCCATGGTGACTCGTAATATCTGTGCTCCATTGATAATGGCTTTTTATAGTTGTGGTGCACGCGCTTAACTCGGAGTCAGTCAATTTAGAGTTGATTGAACTAACTCATTTCAGCTGTTCTGAAACCCAAAACTCAGAGTTTCCAATCTCAGGATAAGTCAACTGAGAGTTCAAGTTTTAACTCAGAGTTGGTTGAACTTCCTTATTGAAACAGGCCCCAGGCCTGTAGTTGTTTAAAAACAGGACGGGTCTCGTTTTGTTCATTTCCTGCTGTCACCATGTTCCATAATGTTATGGACGGACCTGGAGATGAAAACTTAGGCAAATCCAGAGAGAGAAAAGGGTCCAAACATGGTCTGACACAGTAGTTGTGAAATGCGCACAGGTTTTAGTCACAAACCAAATTCTCCATTTCCACAGCAGCCACTCGGAGAGATTAGCTTCATCTCTTCATGATTTTGTGGTATGTTGCTTTATCCCTGTGCCATGAATGTCTGAGGTTCTGACTAAGACAGAGAAAAGCTGACTGTTGCGCTGACTTATGAAAATGTAAACAAAACAGCAACTTCTAGATGAAAAAGGATGAATAATATAATCCAATAGGATGTAATCTAAAGTTATGTGTCAGTTTAATCTGAATTAGATTTCTCTAAATGAAAAGCTAAGAGAAATTGATTTTCCTTTCCTCCAAAAATATTATTATCTACTTATATAATTTAAAACATATAAACAATGAAATCAGAAATTTTCATCCCTTAAGTGTTTAAAATACATAAACCTTACAGATAATCAAATATATGGGATGTAGTTTGGGGAATTGCAACTAAAATACATAAAAGCTATGAGTTTATTAACTAATATTATAGATTTTCAAAAATAAATAATTAATTCCTGAAAGATTTGAATCAAAGTGGCATATTTTCCTGAGAGAGTGAAAAATTAATAATCATTTTTTGGCACATTTAAAACAAGTATGTTTTAAAATAAATAAAACCTAAAACCTGCTTAATGGATTTAAATCTAGGATGATAAAAAATGAAAAAACATCCTAACTTTCAGAATTAGAACTGAAATAGCACCTGACATAAAGTTATAAATGGTTGGCTTACAGCAGAATAGTAACTGATTCGCTGTTTAGAGTTAAAATACCTGCGTATAAATAGACTGAAAACCGTCCATTTTACCGTTGACCCAGTTACAGGAGGTTCGGTAAAGATGGGCAGGCTACTGTTTTTCATTTTCTAAGCTGAAATGTTGAATGATGTGAAAGGCGAGACAAGACAAAATACAATTATTCTCTACGTCAGGGGTCTTCAACGTTTTCGAGGCCAAGGACCCCCAAACTGATTGCGAGATGGAGCGGGGACCCCTTAATTATATATATTGTATGAAATTGTGTTATATCAAACTGGTCCTATAGTCACTCTATTACATATGGAGTCATGTAACGAAAGTAACTTCTCCCTGGGATTATTAACCCCTAGAACCCTACAGACCCACCGGTGGGTCCAGCTGCTACGTGACCTCGTAATTTTAACAAACCCCCAGTATTGATGTAAAAAACACATTTGGCACAGTTTGGTGACATTTTTGGATAAATGTGTCAAAATGGCCTCTCCGCCTAAGAAATTTCTCACTAATACCATTCTAAAATAAATATGATTCATCTGATTGAGTCCAAATTTGGTATATTTTTACACATTTAGATTTAAAAGTCTGTACTACTTTTTTGTGCTATAAATAATATTTTGGTAGTGTTTTGCAATGTTTATTTCAAAGAAAATTTTGGCGAGGTTCAAAAAATGCAAAATATTTTGTATTTTGTCCCTAATATTTCAGGCAGGGTCAAAGCTACAATGGTGCTGACACCAGAAATCCATTCTATGACATCTTACCTTTACAGACGTACCAAAAGTTTCTTCTTAAATCTAATAGCTGTGAGGCTATAAGTGATTTACTTTTGTGTGTTTTTGTCAGGCAGAAATTTATTTATACCCCCTGAGGGTGTAAGAGGTTAAAGTACAGGTGCTGGTCATAAAATTAGAATATCATGAAAAAGTAGATTGATTTCAGTAATTCCATTTAAAAAGTGAAACTTGTATATTATATTCATACATTACATACAAACTCATATATTTCAGATGTTTATTTTGTTTAATTTTGATGATTACAAATGACAACAAATGAAAATCTCAAATTCATCATATCAGAAAATTAGAATATTACTGAAGACCAATAAAAACAAAGGATTTATAGAAATGTTGGCCAACTGAAAAGTATGAACATGAAAAGTATGAGCATGTACAGCACTCAGTATTTAGTTGGGCCTCCTTTGGCCTGTATTACTGCAGCAATGCGGCGTGGCATGGAGTCGATCAGTCTGTGGCACTGCTCAGGTGTTATGATAGCCCAGGTTGCTCTAATAGTGGCTTTTAGCTCTTCTGAATTGTTGGGTCTGGTGTATTGCATCTTCTTCTTCACAATACCCCATAGATTTTCTATGGGGTTAAGGTCAGGAGAGTTTGCTGGCCAACTAAGAACAGGGATACCATGGTCCTTCAACCAGGTACTGGTAGCTTTGGCACTGTGTGCAGGTGCCAAGTCCTGTTGGAAAATGAAATCTGCATCTCCAAAAAGTTGGTCAGCTGCAGGAAGCATGAAGTGCTCTAAAACTTCCTGGTATGTGGCTGCGTTGACCCTGGACCTCAGAAAACACAATGGACCAACACCAGCAGATGACATGGCACCCCAAACCATCACTGACTGTGGAAACTTTACACTGGACTTCAAGCAACGTGGATGAAGTGCCTCTCTTCTTTTCCTCCAGACTCTGGGACCTTGATTTCCAAAGGAAATGCAAAATTTACTTTCATCAGAGAACATGACTTTGGAGCACTCACCAGCAGTCCAGTCCTGTTTCTCTTTAGACGCTTCTGACGCTGTCTGTGGTTCAAGAGTGGCTTGACACAAGGAATGCGACAGCAGAAACCCATGTCTTTCATACGTCTGTGTGTGGTGGTTCTTGAAGCACTCACTCCAGCTGCAGTCCAC